TGCAGCACACCAGGCCTCCCTGTCCATCACCAGCTCCCAAAGCTTGCTCAAACTCATGTCCATCAAGTCAGTGATGCCATCGAACCATCTCATCCTCTGTTGCCCTCTTTTCCTCCTACCTTCAATCTTTCCCAGCATCAGAGTCTTTTCCAATGAGTCAGTTCTTTGCATCAGGTGGCCAAAATATTGGAGTTTCAGCTTCAGCATCAGTCCTTCCAATGAATATTCAGAGCTGATTTCCTTTTGGATTGACTGGTTGAATCTTCTTGCAGTCCAAGGGACTCTCAAGAGTCTTCTCCAACACCACAGTTCAAAACCATCAATTCTTAGGCACTCAGCTTTCTTTATAGTCCAACTCTCACATCCATACATGACTACTGGAGAAAAGTATTGGTGTTAATTCTCCCTTTAAATTTTTAGTGGAATTCATCAGTGAAACCATCTGGTTTTCCTTTGGGGATAGTTATTTTAATTGCTAATTTAATCTCACATGCAGGTTATAGATATGTTCAGATTTTATTTCAATTTGAGTCACAGTAGCTTGTGTCTTTCTAGGAATTTGTCCATTTCATCCAAGTTATCTAATATGCCAGCACACAGTTGTCTTTGTTTTTCCTTATATCCTTTTTATTTCTGTAAGGTCAATAGCACCGTATTCTCTTTCATTTCTAATTTTAGTAATTTTAGCCTTCTATTTCTTGGTCAGACTAGCCACAAAATTGTTGATTTTGTTGATTTTTTTTCCAGAGGACCAAGTTGTAGCTTCACTCACTTTCTTTATTGCTTTTCTATTGCCTGTTTCATTTATTTCTACTCTGCGCTTTATTGTTTTCTTTCTTCCACTTGCTTTATATTCAGTGGCTCTTCTTTCTCTGATTTCTTAAGGTGGAAGATTATACTATTAGTTTTTTAATAAAAGCATTTACAGCTTTATATTTCCCTCTAAGCATCCTTGTGTTAACTGCTTCTCGTAAGTTTTGATATGTCTTCATTTTCATTCATCTCAAAATATTTTCTAAATTTCCTTGTGATTTCTTCTTTGGCCCATTGGTTATTGGGGAATGTGCTGTTTAATTTCCACATATTCCTGTCAATAAGAATTCAACCCATTTTTTAATCGGATGGTTTGGTTGTGTTTTTTTCATATTTAAGTTGCATGAGTTCTTTATGTATTTTGGGTAATAACCCCTTATCAAGCACATCATTTACAAATATCTTTTCCCATTTAGTATGTTGCTTTTTTGTTTTGTTGATTGTTTCTTAGCTGTGCAAAAGCTTTTAAACTTAATTAGGTCCCATTTGTTTATTTTTGCATCTGTTACCCTTGCCTGAGGAGACAGATCCAAAAAGATATTACTAAGGCATGTCAGAGTGGTCTAACTATGCTTTCTTCTAGAATTTTTATGGTTTCCAGCCCTACATTTAGGGCTGGGCTTCTCTGGTGTCTTAGACGGTAAAGAATCTGCCTGCAATGCAAGAGACCCAGGTTCAGGTGAGGAAGAACCCCTGGAGAAGGAATGGCTACCCACTCCAGTACTCTTGCCTGGAGAATCCCATGGACAGAGGAACCTGGTGGGCTACAGTCCATGGGGTCACAATGAGTCAGACATGACTGAACAACCTACACTTCACTCACTTCACTTCACTTCAAGACATGTCAAAAAGTGTTATGTTTTCTTCTTGAATTTTTATGGTTTCCAGTCCAACATTTAGATATTTAGTCCATTTTGAGTTTATTTTCATATGTGGTATAAAAAATGTTGTAATTTCATTCTTTTACATGTAACTGTAGAGTTTTCCCAACATAAATTATGGAAGAGTCTGCCTTTTCCCCCATTGGATATTCTTGCCTCTTTTGTTATAGAATAATTGACCGTATGTGAATGGACTTATTTTTCAGCTTTCTATTCTCTTCCATTGATCTATGTATCTGTTTTTGTGCCAGTACCACACTGTTTTGGTTACTAAAGCTTTGTAGTATAATCTGAAGTCAGGGAACATGATACTTCCAGCTTTGTTCTTTTTTCTCAGGATCTTATCTTGTAGGGTAGTTCTGAAGTCAATAAATTCTTTCCACTTCTATCTGGGGATATTTCAAATCTTAATTTTTGAAGAACAGTTTTGCTGGATAAATACTGTGGGGTTGACAGTCTTTTCTTTCAGTACTTTGAATGTGCCATCCTATGGACCACTGGTTTCTATGGTTTCTGATGAGAAATTAGCCATTAATCTTGTTGAGGATTCCTTGAATGCAATGTCACTTCTTTCTTGCTGCCTTCAAGATTCTTTCTTTGTCTTTTGTAATTTAATTATAGTGGATATGAGTCTCTTTGAATTTATCCTACATGAAGTTCATTGAGTTTCTTTAAAGTGTAGATTAATGTTTTTCATCAAATTTTGGAAGCTTGCAGCCATTATTTTTTCAAATATTCTTCCTGCCTCTTTCTCCTCTCCTCGGAAAATGTACATCATGTTGCTCAGCCCACACATTACCCACCTCATGCAGGTCCGATGTCACCTGCTCAATCACAGGTAGCACCTTGGGATTTGTTCCCACATTTAAGCCAAAGGGAAGCTGTGGCAAGAGGCACAGAATGGCTTCTAGACTTTATTCCTCCTATGTACCTGGCTCTAATACCAGTTACTTTTGTTTGTCCTCACTGTTGTGAAATGCACAGAGTAGAAGATTCTTGAGTTGGCAGAAGCATAGTAAAGTGACTGTCACCCAGTTTAAAGGTCTTCATGCATCAAAGATGCAAAAACTTCATCAGAGTCAAGGTATCTAAACATCTTCATTTCCTCTCTATGGAAGCATGGTCTTCCCCCAAGTCAGAAAAATAGGAATCATGAGGAGGACATGAATTCACAATATATTTCATCTTTATTATTTCACTCAACTGAATATATTTACACACACCTTCCAGAATTTATTAAGGGTTATACAGAGTACAAAAGTATTAGTGATGACAGTCCATGCTCTTATAAATGGGTTAATCTTGAGATAACCTGATATTTTGAAATTTTTAAAAAGCAGATGACATAGATCATGTCCTCAAAACATATATAAAGTGGTTAGTATTGAAAACATCTGACCTTACACCTAACTGGGAGATTTCATAGTTCTCATTTGTCACCCACACTAGGTAGCTCTCAACATAATCTGCCTAGCCATGAGTAGAAACCAAGAAGCAACCTTAAGTGTGGAGATACCCATGCTAATGACTAGGGGCAGAAAGGCAGAAAGACACTGGAATGTCAGTGCTACACTTCCCCCAAACTGCTTACTCCTGGATTTCTTGACATAAGACACACAATAAACCCTTAATGTGTAAGCCATTATTATTTGAGTTCCTAAGCCTTGGGGAGGGGATTCCCAGTTGACTTAGTGGTAAAGAATCCATCTGCCAATGCAGGAGACATGGGAGACTTGGGTTCATTCTCTGGGTTGGGAAGACCCCTTGCAGGAAGATAAGGCAACCCACTCCAGTATTCTTGCCTGGAAAATCCCATGGACAGAGGGGCCTGTCCACAGTGGGCTACAGTCTGTGGGGTCATAAAGAGTTGGACATGACTGAGCATGCATGCACAAGCCTCAGGGAGAGATGGGGGTGGAGAGAAAGAGAAAGGGAGACGAAGAGAGAAAGAAATGCAAAGGAGTTTTCAGTTACTTTTCCTGAAAATTCTAAAGGAAATCTAGAATTTTACTTAGAATTTTAAATTTTGCAAGATTATCTAATTAGCAATTTTACCATGCTTCTCATTTTTGTTCTAGTCTGTGTCACCATGAATGATTAGCAATTAAATCTTTTGATACTTCAGAGATCATGTCCATTTCCTCAGGGAGAGCAATGGAGGGTAGACGGGCCCACTTTCCACTCCAGCTTGGAACAAGGAAAGGAGTAAGAGTAACCACATGAGGAAAAGAAGGTCCTGAGAGCACCCCTGGGGGAGATGGGGAGGCTGGGAGAACCTGGCAAGCAGTGCTCAGCAACAGAGAGGCTCACAGGAGTCCAACTTCTCTGTTTTGCCATGCCCAGGAGTTGGCAGGACACTGTCTTACTCTAATGTAGCTGAATCCCCTGGTTCTCATGTGACTATCTGTATTCTGACCCCAGGCTCTCCTTGGCCATAGTCCCAGTGTCCGTCCTGACTCCAGTCTACCTACACAGGTGAAGTGATTCTTGTGATTTGACTCTGATCCTTAATATCAGCCTAATATCTGAAGCCTTTTCACAGATTTCCCTACCTTATTTCTTCTTTCTCCTTTATTACCCCCTATTACATGCCCCATCTGCAAAGAGCTGAAGCATCACAAGCTGAGATGCATTCATCTCTCAAGCTCTGAAAGTTGTGGTTCCTCTTCCCATCCCCTTGCCATGCCCCCTACCCCGCCATGCTTGTAGCCTGAGAGTATCTTCAACTTAAAGAGACCCCAAGCATTTCATTTTCCTAGAACCTTTCCTTTAAATTACTTAGTAATTTGGAGGGCTTTTCCTGAATATTTTCATTATTTTGCCTACATGCCATGTACTGGGATGTTTATGCTGTCCACCACACTTTATCACTTCACTGGCCATTGTCAAAAGCTCTTTTGCCTGGTCTTCCCTGGCTTGGCCAGTTTCTTTGTTATTAAAACCACAGTATCTCCCCTTACATTTTTTAATTATGTTCTTAAGATACTTGTTATCTGTGTTATTGACATAATCGTCAAGTTTGCCATTCTCTAGGTCTTCCTTCCAGGTGAACAGCACGATCATGTGTTCCGTAGCTTCTGCTCCAAAGATGCACTTTAGGTCCACCACTGCCTTTTTGTCCCCTCTAGTGATCCGTCCCAGCTGTAACACCACAACCAGAACTGTACTCCCTTCTTTATAGTGGGACCTACAGGCATTGACTGCCTTCTTGACCTGGGATAGGTCCCCTTCAGCTCTGGACTCCCAACAGAGTGATGGAGTGTCCACAACCACAACATCCTGCCCATTCCACATTGTCCTGCCGACCTGGCAGCTTGTGGTGACCGGCTGTGCTTTTAGCTGAGAGTGGAACTCTGTCTTCCTGAGGATGGTGTTCCCACTGGCACTCTTCCCAGTCCCGCTCTTCCCCATGAGGATAATGCGCAGGGGCTCTGTTGAAAGGAAAGCAGGAGACATTACCCTATAAATGAGATCAGAGATGCACAGAGCTCTTACAATACATATTATTGGGGTTTTCCTTATGACTTTGCACTTGTACTGTGATCTCACTCTTCCCTTCAGGCCTCATAGTTCTCAATTGTGAATTTTTACCAAGTTACTAATATCTACTTCAAAACAGAGAGAGAAAGAAGCCTATCTCATGCTCTTCTTTCCATGAGAAATTATTGAATTATTTATCCTGAACCCACAATCTCATAGTTATAGGATAAAAAAAAAATGTTTATCTTAAGTCTCTCTCTAGAAAGAAGAATGGAACTGGAGGAATCAATCTGCCTGACTTCAGACTATACTACAAAGCCACAGTCATCAAGACAGTATGGTACTGGCACAAAGACAGAAATATAGATCAATGGAACAGAATAGAAAGCCCAGAGATAAATCCACGAACCTATGGTCACCTTATCTTTGACAAAGGAGGCAAGGATATACAATGGAAAAAAGACAACCTCTTTAACAAGTGGTGCTGGGAAAACTGGTCAACCACCTGTAAAAGAATGAAACTAGAACACTTTCTAACACCATACACAAAAATAAACTCAAGATGGATTAAAGATCTAAATGTAAGACCAGAAACTATAAAACTCCTAGAGGAGAACATAGGCAAAACACTCTCCGACATAAATCACAGCAGTATCCTCTATGACCCACCTCCCAGAATTTTAGAAATAAAAGCAAAAATAAACAAATGGGACCTAATGAAACTTAAAAGCTTTTGCACAACAAAGGAAACTATAAGCAAGGTGAAAAGACAGCCCTCAGATTGGGAGAAAATAATAGCAAACGAAGCAACAGACAAAGGATTAATCTCAAAAATATACAAGCAACTCCTCCAGCTCAACTCCAGAAAAATAAATGACCCAATCAAAAAATGGGCCAAAGAACTGAACAGACATTTCTCCAAGGAAGACATACAGATGGCTAACAAACACATGAAAAGATGCTCAACATCACTCATTATCAGAGAAATGCAAATCAAAACCACAATGAGGTACCATTACACACCAGTCAGGATGGCTGCTATCCAAAAGTCTACAAGCAATAAATGCTGGAGAGGGTGTGGAGAAAAGGGAACCCTCTTACACTGTTGGTGGGAATGCAAATTAGTACAGCCACTATGGAAAACAGTGTGGAGAATTCTTAAAAAGCTGGAAATAGAACTGCCATATGACCCAGCAATCCCACTTCTGGGCATACACACCGAGGAAACCAGATCTGAAAGAGACACGTGCACCCCAATGTTCATCGCAGCACTGTTTATAATAGCCAGGACATGGAAGCAACCTAGATGCCCATCAGCAGACGAATGGATGAGGAAGCTGTGGTACATATACACCATGGAATATTACTCAGCCATTAAAAAGAATTCATTTGAATCAGTTCTAATGAGATGGATGAAACTGGAGCCCATTATACAGAGCGAAGTAAGCCAGAAAGATAAAGACCATTACAGTATACTAACACATATATATGGAATTTAGAAAGATGGTAACGATAACCCTATGTGCAAAACAGAAAAAGAGACTCCTATGTATAGAACAGACTTGTGGACTCTGGGAGAAGGCGAGGGTGGGATGTTTCAAGAGAACAGCATTGAAACACGTATATTATCTAGGGTGAAACAGTTCACCAGCCCAGGTTGGGTGCATGAGACAAGTGCTCGGGCCTGGTGCACTGGGAAGACCCAGAGGGATTGGGTGGAGAGGGAGGTGGGAGGGGGGACCGGGATGGGGAATACATGTAAAAAAAAAAAAAAAGATACACTATGGTTGTGATAAAAAATAAATAAATAAATAAATAAATAAATAAATAAAATTAAGTCTCTCTCTCATACCCTGAGACAGTATGGTTACCACCTACCTCTACAATCTGGTCTCACGTCCCCGTTCCACATCTAGAGGTGTGAGCCCTTCATCTCCATCAAGACCACGCCCCTTGGTCCCCTCACAAGTAGATGCTCAGTTCTACATCCTTGCTTCAAGTTGCTAGTTAGTGTACCCTCTGGAGCTTTCTGCCCAGTCATCTAAACTATCCACTTTCCAAAGCCTGTTTCAAGTCAGGCTTCCTCCACACAGCCCCTCTGACTTTCCCACGTGCCTGTGCTTTTAGGATCTCCATTAAGAATGTGAAAGGGCACACGAACAGATATGCTCCTTTTGGTCTGATGTTCTTTCCAAGTGAGGATCTTTGAAGCAGAAGAGAATGGGATGAGTAGAACTAGGCTGGAAGAATCTCAGCTCAGGTCAATAGAACTTGTAGCACTGAGTAGATGGGGACTTCTGCTTAAGCTGTGGGTAGGGTAGTGTGGCTGGATCAATCAAACCCACATAGGGCCATGTGGGGCATGATGCTTGGGAGCACCCAGGCTCCCTGTCCTTGTCCAGTTAAAATGACCCCCCTTCTCCAACAGAGGGAAGAGTAATGAGCCAAGAGACAGTCCTGGATCGCGGGTTTTACTCTTCGCTCTTCCTCCCCCTCCTTCTGCCTCTACCTTTCCCCCTCCTTGACCTCTTTATCCACTCTCTTGGTTCTTTACTGTCCCATCACCAGCACCCAAGTGCTAAGTCCTGGGCAACAGATACACTGCAGCGAAGACAAGAGATGGAAAAGGTCAACTTTTTCCCTCAAGGTGCTCACCATCCAGTTGAAGAGACAGGAGAAGAGTCAGGAGAAAACTAGAGACCAAGTCAGGACTTCCAGGTGGCTCAGTAAGTAAGTAAGTGTTAGTCACTCAGTCATGTCTGACTCCATATGACCCCATGGACTGCAGCCCGCCAGGCTCCTCTGTCCATGGGATTTCCCAGACAAGAATACTAGAGTGGGTTGTCATTCCCTTTTCCAGGGAATCTTCCTGACTCAGGGATCGAACCTGGGTCTCCTGCATTGCAGGCAAATTCTTTCAGTGCTGAGCCAGCAAGGAAGCCTGGGAGAGTTAATACTTTCCCCCAAAATCAGCTCACACAAGTCAACGTCCTATAGAAAGTCTTCTCCAACCCCATCATTTCTGAGGTGCTTCTTGGTCCCCATCATTTGTGATACTCCCTTACTGTCTCAAATCATTCAACCCAATTTTTTTCAGTAACAGAAATATTTCTGGGGGTCTTGGCTGAAGGCCATCGACAGAATTTTAACTCCCTACCACTGTCTAAGTTCATGTATTTCTGGTTAACTTCACTCATCTGTACAATGAGAATAATGAAAATAGCACCTTCTTTATAGGATTGTTATGAGGACTTTATATTGTTGGGTTATTGTGAGAATTATATATTATATGCTATGAAGATTAAATAACTTATATATATATATATAGTTGGGCCAAAAGTTCTTTCAGATTTTTCCATAGAATGTGATGGGAAAAATCTGAACAAACTTTTTGGCCAACCCAATATATTTCCCAGCACATAATGTCAGGATTCCCTGGTAACTCAAGACAGTAAAGAGTCTGCCCACAATGTGGGAGACCTGAATTTGATTCCTGGGTTGGGAAGATCCCCTGAAGAAGGAAATGGCAACCCACTCCAGTATTCTTGCCTGGAAATTTCCCATGAACAGAGGAATCTGGTGGGTTACAGTCCATAGGGTTGCAAAGAGTCAGATACGACTGAGTGACTTCACTTTCATTTTCAGTGTCGGTCCTGCATTGCAGGCAGATTCTTTACTCTCTGAGTCACCAGGGAAGCCCTCAGCTGCAATAATTATCATTATTAAAATTGTAAATTTAATTATTATTTTAAGAAGTCCTACAAGAACACAGATCTCATCTATCTTAGTGTGAAATATTCAGTTCTTGCACAGAACTAGTCTGGAAATAACCCAGGAGTCCATCAACAATAAAAATGGCTGAATTAGTTGTGTATGCCCATATCATGAACCAGTTACATCCACTGAACAGAACGAGGCAGATCAGTGCATACTGACTCATGCTCTGTGCATGATACACCATTAAAGGGAATCACCACATGGATACTGAGCTCCATCACTGAATTCTGCAGATGTTATTCTATTTAGTGTTATCCATGGAGTTATTTAGGGCTTCCTAGGTGGCACAGCTTTCTTTAGAAAGTTCTCTTTAAAGAAAGCTGGGTGCCGAAGAATTGATGCTTTTGAACTGTGGTGTTGGAGAAGTCCCAACTTGAGAGTCCCTTAGACTGCAAGGAGATCCAACCAGTCAATCCTAAAAGAAATAAGTCCTGAACAGCCATTGGAGGGACTGATGCTGAAGCTGAAACTACAATGCTTTGGCCACCTGATGCAAAGAACTGACTCATTGGAAAAGACCCTGATCCTGGGAAAGATTGAAGGCAGAAGGAGAAGTGGACAACCGAAGGTGAGATGGTTGGATCACATTACTGACTCAATGGACATGAATTTGAGCAAACTCCAGGAGATGCTCAGCTTCCTTCATAGCTCAGTTGGTAAATCATCTGCCTGCAATGGAGGAGACCCTGGTTTGATTCCTGGGTCAGGAAGATCCCCTGGAGAAGGAAATGGAAAACCACTCCAGTATTCTTGCCTGGAGAATCCAACGGATAGAGGAGCCTGACAGGCTACAGTTCTGGGATGACAAGAGTCGGACACAACTTAGCAACTAAACCACCACCACCACCACCAGCAGTTGGTGATGGACAGGGAAGCCTGGTGTGCTACAGTCCATGCGGTCAAAAAGAGTCATGCACCACTGAGCAGGCATACACGTGGAGTTATATTCTGCTCCCCAGCAGGAGTCCAACATTGGGATCCCAGACTGGAAGAAGAGGCTGAGTCAGGAAAGAAGCTGCAAGAGGCAAGCCCAGCTCTGAAACATTTGCAAGAAGGCTGGGGGCACCCATGCCATGTCCAGAACCTCTGCTGGTGCTGCACCTACTCACAAGTGTTTGAGATTCCCTCAGGGACAAACTGTGGGCCCCAACCTGAGCTAGCGCTCCAGGATGCATTATTTTTTTCCAGCTTTTTCAAAAAAAATATTTATTTTTAACTGGAGGATAATTGCTTTCCAATATTGTGTTGATTTCCACCATACATCAACATGAATCAGCCATAGGTATATATAGATATGGCCCTTCCCTCTTGAACCTCCCACCCCATCCCCCCCTCTAGATTGCCACAGAGCCCTGGTTTGAATTCCCTGAGTCTACAGCAAATTCCCACTAGCTATCTACTTTACATAGGGTAATGTATATGTTTCCATGCTACAATCTCTCCATTCATCCCACCCTTTCCTCCCCACCCCCACCATGTCCACAAGTCTGTTCTCTGTGTCTGTGTCTCCATTGCTGCCCTACAAATAGGTTCATCAGTACCATTTTTCTAGATTCTGTAAATATGCATTAATAAACAATAATTGTTTTTCTCTTTCTGACTTACTTCACTTTGTATTCCAGGTTCATCTACCTGTATTCTAGGTTCATCCACCTCATTAAAACTGACTCAAATGTGTTCCTTTCCATGGCTGAGTAATATTCCATTGTATATATGTACCACAGCTTCTTTATCCATTCATCTGTTGATGGACATCTAGATTGCTTCCATGTCCTAGCTATTGCAAATAGTGCTGCAACTCAATACCAGAAAAACAAACAACCCAATCAAAAAGTGGACAGAAAACCTAAGCTGACATTTCTCCAAAGAAGACATACAGATAGCTAATAGACACATGAAAAGGTGCTCAACATCGCTCATTATTACAGGATGAGTTTTTGTTCTAACTTATCTAGATAATTTTCCACTTTATTTTGATGCATGATGCATTCAAAAGAATACAGATATGGGCTTAACAGTTTTTAAGGATTATCTTACCACGTGGATGGTCCTTCCTCTGAGATGTCTCTTCATTCGCAGAACCCTAGAAAGAAAATGAAAAGGGAAAATGAGGCACACAGATCTAAAATCTCATTTTTTTCACAACGTAAAGCAGTGGAGACAAGTACCTAGTTCGGAGTAATTTGATAATTAGGATGTAGTCAAATCACAGTCCTGGTCATAGTCCTCTGCTGGCCTGTGCAGTTCCGTCCATAATGAAACTGATCTGGGGACCCCACTGTTGCTACTGCTGCAATAGGCTTCCCAGAAGTAAGAAGGTTGCGCTTCTCTTTGTTTAGCTCTTTCTGACTTACTTCACTCGGTATCTAGGTCCATCTACCTGTATTCTAGGTTCATCCACCTCATTAAAAACGACTCAAAGGTGCTCCTTTCTATGTCTGAATAATATTCCATTGTATATACGTACCACAGCTTCTTTATCCATTTATCTTTTGATGGACATCTAGATTGCTTCCATGTCTAGACGGAAGCACTATGAGCCATCAGGGAAGCCCACACTATTTCCAAAGTCTCCCAGGGTTCTTGCTATTCCTGGAGAAAATCCAGAAGCTTAAGGAGAGTTTCTTGACTCCCCAGAAGAAGAAACTAGTCAAGTGAGGCCTGTGCAGTGCCTTTGAAGGACAGGGAAGGGAGGAGATTGGAAATCAAGCTTCCCATGTTATCTCCAAGGTCTTCTTCCTTCACTGCACCCCCAGGAGAGAGATGACACTTCTAATGTGAGATCCAGCACAATTTGGATCCTTCTACATCCAGACAAGCAACTGGAGACAGTGAAGGATGGACAGCCAAACATATAATTAGCATCCCCTTCACCTGCCTGGAGAAGCGTCACTCCCCACAGTTAAACTGGCATGAAATCATGGGACTTCCCTAATGGTCCAGTGGTTAAGAATCTGCCTGAAAATGCGAAGGACATGGGCTTAATCTCTGGTTCAGGAAGATTCCATATGCTGGGGGCAACTAAGCCCAGGTGCCACAATTACTGAGCCTGTGCTCTAGAGTCCAAGTCCCAAAGCTACTGAAGCCCGGATACTCTAGAGTCTGTGATCCACAAAAAGAGAAGCCACCGAAATGAGACGCCGGTGCACTGCAACTAGAGTAGCCCCCACTTGTCCCAATTAGAAAAAGCCCACGGGCGACAATGAAGATCCAGCACAGCCAAAAATAAAAAATAAATAAATAAAATGTTTCTTAAATTGGCATGAAATCAGAGGTCTTAAAATCAACTAAAATAGCACTCCACCTATTTGTGCGAAATGGATGGGCACAGGAAGGGTAAGGCACAAGAATGAATGAGGGGGAAAATTGTTAGTATAGTAATTGTAAAATAGTACAGGCAAGAAGACTCTTGAGAGTCCCTTGGAGAGCAAGGAGATCCAACCAATCCATCCTAAAGGAAATCAGTCCTGAATATTCACTGGAAGGACTGATGATGAAGCTGAAACTCCAATACTTTGGCCACCTGATGCAAAGAACTGACTCATTTGAAAAGACCCTGATGCTGGGCAAGATTGAAGGTGGGAGGAGAAGGGGATGACAGAGGATAAGATGGTTGGATGGCATCACCGACTTGATGGACATGGGTTTGAGTAAACTTCAAGAGTTGGTGTTGGACAGGGAGGCCTGGCATGCTGCAGTCCATGGGATCGCAAAGAGTCAGACATGACTGAGCAACTGAACTGAACAGGCAAGAAAAGAGGCTGACCTGGATCAGATGGTAGTCATGGTGACAGAGAGAAGCAGGTGGCTTCCAGATGCCTCAGTCACACAAGATGATGATGCCCTGGAAGCCAGATGCCAGCCGGCAGTGGTATCAAAGCTGACATCTGAGCTTAGGTTTGAAGAGCATGGTGACCAGAACAGTCACTGGCGGGATTGAGAAGAGAACTGAAGTCATACAGATTTCAGATGGAAAGACAAAAGTCTGGACATGTTAATTTTGAGATGATCCATCAAGAGAGAAATGTCAAATAGCAATTGGATAGATAAAGGAATCAGAACTCAGAGGAAGGGCCTAGACTGAAGGGATTAATTTGGAAACTGTTAGCCACAGCTGAAGCTCCAAGCTGTAAAATCATGGAGTCACCTGAGGGAGAAAAACCTGTCAAGACTGGAGGAAGGGCTTGAACCAAGCCCTGAAGATGTCAGCTGTTAAAGGTCATAGAGGTGGACTCAGCAACCTCTGCAGTAGCAAGAGAGAAGAAAATAAGGAGAGTGAGCTTTTACTGAAGTCATGGGAAGAGGGGGTTTAATGAGTCATTTGTGTGTCCAGTGCTATGAAGGGTAAAGTCAGAAAAGGACTTAAATGTATCTATTAATTTGCCAGTAAAGTAGCCTCATCTTTCCAGTTTATGGACAAATGTCCCCTTGTTGCTGTCGTTGTTTAGTAGCTAAGTCATGCCTGACATTTTTGCGACCCCATGGACTATAACCTGCCAGGCTCCTCTGTCCATGGGATTTCCCAGGCAAGAATACTGGAGTGGGTTGCCATGTCCTTAAAAAAAAAACAAAAAAAATCCTATGCAACATTTCACTTATGTGTGCCTTTATCTTACCAGTTCTAACAACAGAGATCCTTGGAGACCTTAACAAGAATTCTCACCTGGAATCTACTGTCTTCATCCCTTAAGTTCACCACAAATGGTCCTTCGTTTTCCACCAAATCCTCGACCTTGCAGAGGAGCGCCTTCACCTGGGCGTCCTGCTCATCCTTAGTTGCCTTGTTGTTGAAAGCACAGTATCGACCACCAAAGCACTGAACCAAGTCCTGAACAGGTGAGTTGCTTTTAACGTACTCCTCCAGCGACCCATCCTTCAAATTGTCCTTACAAGTGAAGACGATAATGGTGTGCCTCCTGGCTTTCGCTTCAAACACCTTCTGGATGTGCTCAGCTGTTTGTCCATCCTCCACCGTACAGTTGCCAATGGGAAGTACCAGAAGCAGGGCATGGAGGCTGGGAGCCGAGAGCTCCAAGCAGTGCTTAATATTGCATCGTTTGTTATCCACACAAGCGATGTCATCTATTGAGGAGAAAAGGTCGGGGGTGTCGATGACCACAACCTCCCTCCCCTGCGTGACCCCATTCTCTCTCTGGCACCTTTTAGTCAATGGCTGCTCACTGCACCTGGACTCGAACACGGCTTTGCCCAGAATGCTGTTTCCTGTGGCACTTTTCCCTGCGCCACGCTTCCCTAAGAGAAGAAGCCTCACTTCCATCGTGGAGGAGCCCCGCTCTGACTCGCTCTCCTGACTTGGGCTTTGAGTGGTTCTGTTGGGGCAAAAAGCAACACATCAGTAATCAAAGCTCAGCTGGTAAAGAATCCGCCTGCAAAGTGGGAGACCTGGGTTCAATCCCTGTGTTGGGAAGATCCCCCTAGAGAAGGGAAAGGCTGCCCACTCCAGTATTCTGGCCTGGAGGATTCCGTGGACTACAGTTAGACACGACTGAGCCACTTTCCCTTTCAGTAACCAACTCACAGAGTGACTAGAGGACCAGCATGAAAGTACCTTCTCTTTCTGACTCCTTTCTCCGAGGATTTGGACAACTGAGGTCCTAGACTCAGACTAGATAGGGACAAGGAATCCTGTTTCCCAGATTCTTCTCTGTGTTCTTGTCTCTAAAACAAACCCATGTTCTTGCTAGCTAGACCTCAATTCAGAGCTGGGTATTTCACCACCCTCCAGTTTCCTTCTTTTTGAAAATCAGATTGGAAGGAGTGGGGTTTATGAAGTTAGAAGTGTTTATTGTAAAATTTGGGAAAACCTCAAAAATGATGAAGGAGAAAATAAAATTCATCTGTACTCCCAACACCAAAAAAAAAAAAAAAAAGCGAAAACAAAATAAACTTAAAAATAAACCCATATTGGTAAAAATGTCAAAATATTGTTGATTGCCTAAGCAAACACCAACCCCTTCTCTATACACATCACCAACTCTACATGCTGGAGGAAATCTAGACACTCACTGAGATACACAGGATAAAGCTCCCCTTTTTAAAAAAAGTGGGGGAGGGGACACAGATGGCCATGTGCTAATTAATCCCTGGAATTTGTGACCAAGTGCATTACTTTACCTAGTACAGGGCTTAGCCAGTATAACTAATGACCTTGTGATGGAGAGACATCCTTAGGTCACTGTGGTGGTGGCAGTTTAGTCACTAGGTTGTGTCCAACTCTTGGCAAACCCATGGACTGTAGCCCGCCAGGCTCCTCCATCCATGGGTTTCTCCAGGCAATAATATTATAGTGGGTTGCCATTTCCTTCTCCAGGGGATCTTCCCAACCCAGGAATCGAACCTGGGTCTCCTGCATTACAGGCATATTATTTACCGACTTAGCCATGAGGGTACCGAGGTGGGCCCAATATAATCACGTTATGAGAGGTTCCAGAATGAGAAAAGATGGGAGAACAGAAGCAGAGATTAGAGACAGAGAGGCTCGAAAATGCTACACTGTTGACTTTAAAGATAGAGGAAGATAGATATACTCCTAAGTATTTTATTCTTTTTGTTGCAATGGTGAATGGTATTGTTTCCTTAATTTCTCTTTCTGTTTTCTCATTGTTAGTGTATAGGAATGCAAGGGATTTCTCTGTGTTAATTTTATATCCTGCAACTTTACTATATTCATTGATTAGCTCTAGTAATTTTCTGGTAGAGTCTTTAGGGTTTTCTATGTAGAGGATCATGTCATCTGCAAACAGAGAGAGTTTCACTTCTTCTTTTCCCATCTGGATTCCTTTTACTTCTTTTTCTGCTCTGATTGCTGTGGCCAAAACTTCCAAAACTATGTTGAATAGTAGCGGTGAGAGTGGGCACCCTTGTCTTGTTCCTGATTTTAGGGGAAATGCTTTCAATTTTTCACCATTGAGGGTAATGCTTGCTGTGGGTTTGTCATATATAGCTTTTATTATGTTGAGGTATGTTCTTTCTATTCCTGCTTTCTGGAGAGTTTTAATCATAAATGGGTGTTGAATTTTGTCAAAGGCTTTTTCTGCATCTATTGAGATAATCATATGGTTTTTATCTTTCAATTTGTTAATATGGTGTATTACATTGATTGATTTGCAGATATTAAAGAATCCTTGCATTCCTGGGATAAAGCCCACTTGGTCATGGTATATGATTTTTTTAATATGTTGTTGGATTCTGTTTGCTAGAATTTTGTTAAGGATTTTTGCATCTATGTTCATCAGTGATATTGGCCTGTACTTTTCTTTTTTGTGGCATCTTTGTCTGGTTTTGGAATTAGGAGTATATCTACCTAAAGAAACAAAAGACCTATACATAGAAAACTATAAAACACTGATGAAAGAAATCAAAGAGGACACAAACAGATGGAGAAACATACCGTGTTCATGGATTGGAAGAATCAATATTGTCAAAATGGCTATTCTACCCAAAGCAATCTATAGATTCAATGCAATCCCTATCAAGCTAAGAACAGTATTTTTCACAGAACTAAAACAAATAATTTCTCAATTTGTATGGAAATACAAAAAACCTCGAATAGCCAAAGTAATCTTGAGAAAGAAGAATGGAACTGGAGGAATCAACCTGCCTGACTTCAGGCTCTACTACAAAGCCACAGTCATCAAGGCAGTATGGTACTGGCACAAAGACAGAAATATAGATCCATGGAACAGAATAGAAAGCCCATAGATAAATCCACAAACCTATGGACACCTTATCTTTGACAAAGGAGGCAAGGATATACAATGGAAAAAAGACAACCTCTTTAACAAGTGGTGCTGGGAAAACTGGTCAACCACTTGTAAAAGAATGAAACTAGAACACTTTCTAATACTATACACAAAAATAAACTCAAAATGGATTAAAAATCTAAATGTGAGACCAGAAACTATAAAACTCCTAGAGGAGAACATAGGCAAAACACTCTCTGACAGAAATCACAGCAGGATCCTCTATGACCCACCTCCCAGAATATTGGAAATAAAAGCAAAAATAAACAAATGGGACCTAATGAAACTTAGAAGCTTTTGCACAACAAAGGAAACTATAAGCAAGGTGAAAAGACAGCCCTAAGAATGGGAGAAAATAATAGCAAATGAAGCAACAGACAAAGGACTAATCTCAAAAATATATAAGCAACTCCTGCAGCTCAATTCCAGAAAAATAAATGACCCAATCAAAAAATGGGCCAAAGAACTAAACAGACATTGCTCCAAAGAAGACACATAGATGGCTAACAAACACATGAAAAGATGCTCAACATCACTCATTATCAGAGAAATGCAAATCAAAACCACAATGAGGTACCATTACATGCCAGTCAGGATGGCTGCTATCCAAAAGTCTAGAAGCAATAAATGCTGGAGAGGGTGTGGAGAAAAGGGAACCCTCTTACACTGTTGGTGGGAATGCAAACTAGTACAGCCGCTATGGAGAACAGTGTGGAGATTTCTTAAAAAACTGAAAATAGAACTGCCATATGACCCAGCAATCCCACTTCTGGGCATACACACTGAGGAAACCAGATCTGAAAGAGACATGTGCACCCCAATGTTCATCGCAGCACTGTTTATAATAGCCAGGACATGGAAGCAACCTAGATGCCTATCAGCAGACGAATGGGATAAGGAAGCTGTGGTACATATACACCATGGAATATTACTCAGCCATTAAAAAGAATTCATTTGAATCAGTCCTAATGAGATGGATGAAACTGGAGCCCATTATACAGAGTGAAGTAAGCCAGAAAGATAAAGAACATTACAGCATACTAACACATATATATGGAATTTATAAAGATGATAATGATAACCCTATATGCAAAACAGAAAAAGAGACACAGATGTACAGAACAGACTTTTGCACTCTGTGGGAGAAGGCGAGGGTGGGATGTTTCCAGAGAACAGCATCGAAACATGTATATTATCTATAGTGAAACAGATCACCAACCCAGGTTGGATGCATGAGACAAGTGCTTGGGCCTGGTGCACTGGGAAGACTCAGAGGGATTGGATAGAGAGAGAGGTGGGAGGGGGGATCGGGATGGGGAATACATGTAAATCCATGGCTGATTCATGTCAATGTATGACACAACCCACTACAATATTGTAAAGTAATTAGCCTCCAACTAATAAAAATTAAAGATAAAAAAAAAAGATGGAGGAAGAGGCCATGAGCCAAGCTGGAAAAAGCAAGAAAACAGATTCTCCCTGCCCAGCACCTTAATTTTAGGACTTGTGACCTCCGGAGCTGTCAAATAATAAATCTTTGGGTTTTGAGCAATTGTTTGTGTCAATTTGTAACAGCAACAGTAGGAAACTAATACATTCTCTCTCCCAACTTCCCTTCCAGCCAAGGGTGTCCATGGGACCCCCTTCTCCCTGGTGAGAGCTCAGGGAATACTTGCTTGAGCCTTCTAGAAATGCTATTGTTTTCCTGATGGTAGGGGCAGACTCAAATTGAGAGCTCCTGTTGTCACCCCTTGCCCCTTCTTCCTGCATGAAATTTTACTGTGATTGCAGGAATCACAGCAGATATTGTGGGCAATGAGGCAACAAATAAGAGGGATGAGAAGTCAACATTCATCACCAAGCTAGAGGCGGCAGAGCAGAAAGATAAAGAGGGTCCCCGATGATGTCATTGAGCTGCCTGAACACCCTTGAGACCCCTTGGTTAAATAAACAATTAATAGCCTTACAAGTTAAGCTGCTGCTACTCAAAATGGGATTCACAGACTAGCAATATTGCCAACAACTGGGTTTCTGTTAGAAACGCAGAGTCCTGGGCCCCACCCCAGCCCCCTGCATCAGCACCTGTAGTTTCACAAATTCCAGGTGATTCCCATGAACCTTCAAGTTTGAGAAGTCTGAGTGGGAGTCACCTTTAGTTCCTAACTGATTTAGAATCCACAGAAAGAGCCAAGCTTCCTTGTCCATTTCTCCAGTAGTCCATCCTTCCCAGATGATTCTGTCAGGTACCAGGGACCCCAACTGTCCTAGTGTGCCCCAAGGTTCTCCGTTGTGTCCCCTGGATTTGGTCTATTTGTCAACCAGAAAGCCTTAATCACCAAAATCAATATGACTTCATTAGTATAATTTTAAAATAAGTCCTACTTTTCTGATAAAGCAAGTCCCAACCCCTTGCACGTGTTCAAAATTTTCTTGCTACTCTCAGCTTTTTTATCTTCTCTAGAACTTTTCAATCAGTTGTCACTTTCCTGATGAAATGCTGAACATTATTGCATTGAATTCACAGCTTTGGTTGAGAAGAACCGACATCTCAATGCTGCTGCTTTTTG